AAATGATCTCAGTTAAAAGTCTCACAAATTTGCTATTCATTTCTGTGTATAAGTTTACGCGAGATATTCATCAGGTTGAAATGTGTCAGAGCGATATGGTAGATGATTATATTGTGCAGAATCATTTTGTGAATAGATATTCGTACTCGTAGGCTCCTTCAAGCTGAATTCTCCGTTCGAACCAGAATCATTAAAAAGAGTTTTCTAAGTCAAGTTCTTGGGCAGAGAGAAGAGGAGCAGCTTGATCACTTACGAGACAATATTTGAGTGTCCCTTCTAGAAACGAGATGAAAAGTAGCCTATCTTGTACAGAATTTGATGCTGATTACGAATATGAATATCTTAGCTGTTCTCGTTGACATACCTTAAAAAAATAGAGGGCACAACTTCTTCATCTGAGGTACTTCCCTGTTAGTAGATATCACTTTTATTCGACTAATATTTTCTTGTAAAGAAGTCAGAAAAAAATTGGGAAAGATTCGACATGAAAGAGTCGTCTTTCTGCTATAAAATGGCATAGCCGAAAAATCCGTGCTTGCCCTTTTTTTATTAACAGCTCTCTTTTTAAGATCAAGTGAGAAGTGGGTTCAGTAAAATGACCGATTGGTACAAATATGTATCGTGTTTTCTGCTTCTTACAAATAATTGATCGGAAGCAAGGTGTTTTAAAACCTCGCACTTACAACTGGGTATATTCATAGGGAAATTCTCGTAAGATACCTTTAACATGTGTCAGATCACAACTTGATCCGACTCTAATTTCAAGATTTTTCACACTATCTTTTGTAAGCAGTACGTTCCAGTAACTACATGAGTTACGAATTTTTCAGCAGAAAGACGACTCTGTCATGTCGAATCTTTCCCAATTTTTTCTGGCTTCTTTACAAAAAAATATTAGTCTAACAAACGTGATATCTACTAGCAGGCAGGTACCTCAGACGAAGAAGTTGTACCCTCTAGCTTTTTAAGGTATCAATGAGAACAGCTAAGATATTCATATTTGTAATCAGCATCAAATTCTATACAAGGTAGATCACTTTTCATCTCGTTTCTAGAAGGAACACTCAAATATATTCACTCGTTAGCCTAGTATTTCACACTGTATTAATTAATGATGTAAAGAAAGAATAGAATTTTGTTTGAACTTTATCTAGTATACTTGATGTACTCGATCACTTTAGTGGATTAACAAATGGAAAAAATTTATAAAGTTATAGTTCTATTATCAGTTTTGCTACAACTAGACCACTCCCAGCTCTCCATGACCTTCTCTGAAAAAATTATGAAGTTTTGAAGTTTTGAAATCTCAATTTTTTAGGTTCGTAAATCTTTCTCTCCTTTCTTATATAGTCAAAATTTTCTTTTATATATAGCATGATAGAAGAAAGTGCCTCTCTTCAAAATGAGATGTTTCCCAGAATTTTCCGATAAGTTTTCTTGGAGATATAAACATAGCCGCAAATGCCCGGAAAAACAGTGCCCTGTGTACAATATATGTTTTTCTCACTGTGGGTTTTTTCGCTTCAATCCAGTCACATTATGATCCATCGAAAAAATGGTCCGATCGAGTTCAAAATTTGACCACAGATACTTCCGACCCTATCTCAGGTTCGGTGTTTTCAAAAAGCGTATTCGATTTCAACTTTCAGTGTTGGAGGGAAGATTTTCAAAATGAAAAACTGGTTTTTATATGAGATTTTCAATATTTTTCGACTATCTCGAGAAGGAAAGAATATTTTTTGAAAAGAAAAAAAATCGAATCTGAGATAGGATCTGAAGTATTTGTGGTCAAATTTTGAGTTCGATTGGACCATTTTTTCGAAGGGTCGTAATGTGACTTGATGGAAACCCATAGAAGAACACGTCAGAAAATTTCTGAGTAAAAAATACATTGATTTTGTTTTTTGATGTTCTATGTCTGCTATAAATTTGAATCCGATCCGACATCGGCTTCCCCGGTTTCCAAGAGGGTAAAAAAAGAGGAGACAGGGATACCCTTAAGAGACATCTATTTTTTCTCAAATATAAAAGCTATTTTAACTTTGCCAAAAGAATCTCTAATTGCCACAACTTCAGAAATATTTGCTGTCAGTATTTGAAATTATCTCCTAATATAATGAGCGAAAACAGAATCTATAGACAGTATATTGTTATGCTATTAAGATGATATATTATAGCATTTACTTTTAAAAGAACTAATTGTATAACGAACGTTTGTGTAGTAATCGTACAAAGAAGTATTCTGAATTATGGATAAATCTTATATAGATAGATAGTATGGTTAGGCTGTGAAGTGAATGATGATGGATCGTCATTATTCTCTAAATAGATGTACATATATTATTTTTTCTATATTGAGATATCTCTTATGGTGTAATGTCATTTTTTTTTTGCTTTTTTCGATATGATACGATGTGATAGACTAAACAGCTGCAGTATGGATGTAATATAAACAACAGGAAATAACTTATAGAAAGATTTTTTATAGTAAGAAAATGTGTTATACATTCTATATTACCTGTGTGAAAGAAAAAATCGTATACTGGCTGACTCTAACGAAAACACATTATTCGGTGATAATATCAAACAAAAATGTGTTTGTTCTTATCATGAAGAGATCTATGAAAAAATATCCATTATATAAGATGTAAGATCTAATGTACAAAGTAAAACATCATTTTATCTTTAGAATAATGTGTATATAAAACTAAAGACATTTAGAAGGAAATTACCGAGATATTATAAGTACGATAGGATAGATAAATAGATTTTTTCGATAAAAATCGTTTGGCAGAATTCATTTTTTTATGAAATATTTTCCGATAGATCAATGCCATAAATTTAGAAATCCGTATGACAGATCTAACTCGTCGCCACCCAACAAATGGTGTAACAGATAAGTAGAACGCTGACATAAACAATATTCTACGTAGATATTTAGCAGAACTTAGTGATTATAGATATCATTATGAGTATAGACATGATACTGACAGGTTATGTCTATGGGAAAAAGTTCTGAAGAATTTCTTGATGAAAAGTGTAAACAGAGATGCTTTAAGAAAAATATGTTTTTCTTCTTTCTCGTCCATTGTCACAGCTATAATTAATCTGACAACAATCGAGTATCATATCAAGTTTTTGTAGAACGCACGTATGTAATTGTTTTACTGTATTGCCTTTTAGGTCATGGACCCATTCCTCGTCTGCTATTCATTTCAGAATGTTATGGTTCATGGCGCTCTGTTCTCGAATAATTCGAGAACAAAAAGTGATAGAAACATGCAATTTTCATCATTTTGTTGAGAAATGTTTACTGCATCTTTTGATATATGGAAGAGTGGGAAAAGACGAGATCACGAAGTCAAGACGGAGTGTTACCTTAAAGTACATGGTTCGATAGACCTGCTTATCTTCTTCAACAGCACGTACATCCGAGGTCGACAGCTCTGTTTTCATGAAAAACTTCATCTCCATACGGTCTTTTAGATCCTCTGTTTAAATTCCGTGTTTTCATCGACCCATAGTGAACTTTTATCGAAACAAATTCTGAAAGTGCCAGATTGTAGAGCGTATCAAATAACTCCCGTGGACACATTTTGAGAAATAAAGAACAAGTTTTCATTGACTCATAGCGCTTTTGTATAGGAAAATACCTTAATGATCCTTGTTTTGGCTGGATAAAATACCGAAATTTTTATAGCTAAGTGAAATCTTGTCCTTTGTTTCTCAAAACTTGTCCACAGGGTTATCGGGTATACTCTAAGAGCTGGCACTATCAGAGTTCATTCAGACGAAAGTTCACTATGGGTTTCTGAAGGCAGTGAATTTGAACAGGGGTTCTGTAAGATCGTATGGGGATGAAAATATATCAAATTCGAGATCAGTATAAAAAATTAGTTATAATCAAGTCTGTTTCCAGGAAAATACGAGATTGCACTCGATGACCTTTCCTCGTAATTTATGAATTTTTTAGTTTCCCATCAAAGCAGAGAGTTGTCGACCTCGAACATACATGCTGTTGTAGATACTTACGAGGAAGGATCCCCAAGTATCCAATCGCTTTTTGCTTGAGATCTAGTGGAGAATAGGTAATCAACTGCGCTAAATCCGAATCTAACATCGGTTTTCGCTGCTAGGCCTCCAGAGACTGGATGTCTGGAAAACCAGGTTTACAGAAACTTTACAAAATAACCAAAATCTTTCTTAATGAGGCATGATTGTAGACCGCAAATTTCTGATTAAAATCAGATATCTCCCATTTCTACACGACCTTTCTTTCCAAAGTTATAGAATTTACAAGAAAAGCCCTAAATTAATTTCTTCTTATTTCTGTAGCTATGAGCTGACAATGAACATTTAGGGCTTTTTGTGTAAATTCTCTGACTTTGCAACGAAAAGGTCGTGTAGAAATGGGAGATATCTGATTTTAATCAGAACTTTGCGGTCTATAATCATGCATCATTAAGAAAAGGTTTTGATTATCTTGTAGAGTTTCTGAAAAGTTACTGAAAACCTGATTTTCCAGAAACCCGATCTCTTGAGGCCTGCCAGATTCAGATTTAGCGCAGTCGATTACCTATTGCCCACTACATCTCAAGCAAAAAGCGATTGCACACTTGGGGACCTTTTCTTGTTAGAGCTATTGAACTATGTAGTTTAAGGTAATACTTCGTCTTGGCTTCGATATCTCCTGATCTCATCTTTTCCCACTCCTCCGCTGCGCTACCTGAAAATCCGATTTCAAAAACCATCCATCTACAAAAAGATGTGATAAACATTTCTGCACAAAGTGATGAAAATCGCATGTTTCTATCACTTTTTGTTCTCGAGTTATCTGAAAAAATAGCCATGGACCATCGCATATAGTACACACGATCTTTTATTTCGATTGAAAAGAGGATTCTATTTCTTGTTACATTGATGTCAACATTTTCTATTCCAGAATATAATTAATTTGTTCGAAGAAGACAAACGCCAATTGGTGCAAGTTTTAGTCAATAATGGGCACTATTCATTTGACAGCGAATGACTTATTCAACTGGAATAATATTATCATTATTGGATGGCTTGCATTAATTTTTGCACCATTTCGAAAATTATCAAAATATTTAATTCTATTACCAGCATTATTTCTATCAATAATATATAGTTTGATATTATTTAAAACAGTATTTTTAAGAGAAAAAAATAGTCCACCATTAGATTTTTTTCATTTATCAGGATGGATGGCTTTATTAAAAGATCCGTCAATGATTGTTGGTACAACGAGTCATTTTTGTATTATGGATTTATGGGTTGGTAAATGGATAGTCTATGATTTTTATAGTAAATATACTTATGGGTATAGTATTACTCGTAATTCAAATGGTACATATGCAATTAATAAATCATGGACATATCAAAGAATTCTATTTACTATTATACTTCTCTTAAGTTATATGGTTGCACCACTTGGATTTTTGGTTTATAACATAGCAAAATATTCATTTTTAAAAAAATATAAAACTCAACATCGTATTGATGTTGAAAATGAACAAGGCTTCATTGAAAGAATAGGGATTAATCAACAACATAGTGATTTATTAAATCCTCATTCTGTTCGATTTGGCGATAAACTTCCATCACCATTACGTAAAATTTATCATTTTATAATCGGTATTTTTGGATTAATTGTCTTATTTACCATTGTTCTACCAGCTTATATTGGTTTAGTAATTTATTGTCGAATTGTTTATCGAAAGTCATCGTCATCTTCTTCTATTCATCAGTCAGATATCGTTCCAAACAAGTTAATCCCTGAATTTGTTCGTAATGTAACAGCCAATATGAAATTTACATCATTTACTACACCGATAAATAAAAGGAATTGGTTATGGTATTTAAAATTTCTATTATTACAAATAGCAACATTTATTGAATATATTCCTAATTCCTTTAATCCACACATGTTATTTCAATCATTAGAAGATTATTTTAAAAAAATATATGATGTACCTTATTATGCATTTGGTGATGGTATTGGCATTAATTCCTATGATTTAGTAAAACGATATTTACAAGATATTCCTCCACGTAAAGATTTTGAATCATTAGGTTGGAAAGTATCATCATCTCAAGCCACATTTTGTGATTTTACAACAATTTTTCTTTCATCGGATAATCCTGATATGACATTAGGTCGTCAGATTATATTTAAATGGTTACATGCTTTTCCCTATAATTTACATAAAACAAATTATCAGGCACAACTTTATTTATCGAGAATAGTACCACGTAAAACAGATGAAAAACCGGATGATATTCTTGTTTATCAAGCTATTGGAGAAGTAATGTTCTTTTTAGCCACTGGAGGTGAATTAACAAAAAATGAACGAACAGCTTATGTTGATTGTGTTAAAAATCCATTAATATTTTTTCCAAACTGGCTTAATTTTTTATTAGGTGGACATTATTTTGAACGAAAAACATTAGGAAGTTATTATACAATTCTTCAAGCATTTTCACGTTATGTTGATGGACCCGCTTTACAAGCAGCATTTAATGCAGCAGATAATAAAAAGTCTAAAAGTGAAATTTTAAAACTTGTTGCCATTGTATTTTCTATAGCTGGAAGTGCTGCTCCTGCTAAATTAGCGGTATCTGTTATTGAAAAATTATGGTCAAAAAATGAAAAAGAGAAAGAAAAAAATATTTTATTATTTCAAAAAAATCCACATAATTTTATTAAAGAAGTTGCTCGATTAGATAAAGCAGTTCCAATGGTAAATGTATTAGCCACTAGTGAAATTGCTAATGAAATTGAAAATAATTTTAAAAATAAAAATTCAAATATAAAAATTTATGAAAATACACCGTTACATTGTTCAATTGTTAATGCAAATCGTGATAAAGAAATGTTTAAAAATCCAGATGATTTTATACCAGATCGTACTGAAATAAATAAAATTATTGTATGGAATGGAGTTGAAGAAGATATTTTGAATATGGATGAAGCGAAGAGACCCGTACGCTATTGTCCCGGTCATGATTTATCTATTGATGTTATTAAATATGTTACTGAACGATTTTTACCCGTTGTATACGATAGTACGAATAGTTCTGCTCGACAACAAGAAAGAATAGAAGAGACAAATAAGTTTTATACGAATGGTAAATAAGAAAATGAATTTTTAATTTAAAATGTAATATTTTTTCATTGATTTGGCAATTTTTTTTCAGGTGTTTTATCGAATGATGATCACAAACATGAAGAAGACGACAATATATTGGAGAAAACAAATGATAATAGAATAATTTCTTCAACAAAACAACCTACAGATGATATGTCAAATGAAAATGAAACAAAATTTGCTTTATTTAATTCAAGTTTTAATCAATTGTCTGATGATCAACGTTATTATGATGTATTGGATAATTATACAAAAGTAGTAATAGAATTAATGAAAGTGGCTGTTAAAGACTCAAATTTATCTCCACCACGTGGTATTGATATTATTCCACCATTTAATTTACCAGCACAAGATTTACATCTCTTACGTATTGATATGGCAAAATTTATACCCAGTTGGGATGAAGATGAACCAAATGGTTCATCATTAAAACGTAACTTTGCTCGTTGGTTAGTTAATCAAAATATATGGGATTTTAAGGATTCATTAGATGAATTTGATACACCAGAACAAGCTATTGCCTGGCGTTTAAAAATGTTTAGTGCATTACCACTACCAAATGTTTTTTATAAAGAAATGTCATCCGATGATATGATGACTCAATTAGCATTTTCTGGTTGTGCATGTCATCATACTCAACGTGTTTATAAACCATGGGAACCTGGTCATGGTATACCAGATAGTAAATTATTGAAAGATGCTGTCTATGTTAATGATATGACCGGTTTATCAATGTTTCGTGTTCGACAACCATTTGAACGTTATGGTGCTGCTGCTTATTTTGATAGTAATTATAAAATTATTGGTATTTATTGGTCTCATGGATCTCGATTAGTTAAACCAAATGATCGATTTTGGGAACATGCAAAATATGTTTGGCGTTCAACATTTTTTGCTTATGTAACAATACGTGATCATTTAATTGTTACACATATGATTGAATGTAATGCATTTGTTAGTGCATCACGTCAACATTTACCATTTGATCATCCATTAAGAATATTTATTAAACCATTTACATATCATACAGTATCCGTTAATTATCAAGCAGCATTGGCATTAGTTAATAATCGTGGTCTTGTACATAGAATATGGGCATTTGATTATGATGAATTTTTAAAAGTATGTGATTATATATCGATGAATTATAAATTTCGTTTATTACCTGATTTTATTGATAAATCGATGGATGCAGATAATAATAATAAAACAAAAGATGAATGGGATAAAATTTATCCTATTCATCGTGATCTTAATGAATTTTGGAATATTATTCATAAATATGTTGAAAACTTTTTTGAGATTAATTATAATTTATCAATTAATGATGATAATGATAATTTACCAGATGATTTATATATAACAAAATTTATTCAAGAAATATGTAAACAAATTGGAATTGCTGGTATTACATCATTAAAATATTTTATTGATGTTTTATCACAATTAATTGCTTCTAGCACTGGTATACATGAACATGTTGGACAAGTAAGTGGCTATATGATTGATCCACGATTTATTGGAGCAAAATTACAAGAAGGTAAAGAAATGCAAAATATTCAAACATATACACAAATACTTCTATTAACTGTTATTACTGGTTTACGTATGCCTGGAATATTAGAAGATTGGAGTCATTTAATAGACCATGATGAACATTATCATAAAAATTTAAAGAATTATCAAGATTTTAAATATCAATTACAAAAACTATCGGAAGATATTGATTCTCGTAACAAAATAAGAAATTATCCATTTGAATCGTTTAATCCAAAATATATTGAATGTTCAACATCTATTTAAAGAAGAAAAACCTTTAGATACTCTGGTTGTACCCTTTAGTTATGCTATGACATATTGTTGTTGTTGTTATTCTTAGTTTCTAAAGCAAAAGTTTTCTGATTTTAAATAAGACTTTTTACTATAATTCTGCAGTACAGTTGTTCGTACTATGCAAAGCGAAATGACGAAGTATTTGAACACTTTTACCTCCTGTGATTTGGTGTCTACTGATGAACGGGACTCATAATCAAGTAAGCTTGTTAAATCGCCCTAAAAAATGTTTTCGTATCCAACAGTATACCAGTAATTTGTATGAGTGTACGGACATCTATTACTTTCCTTATTTTCTGTCATTCAGCAAGTGGCATGATAACATTAAGCTTTTTCAGGACGTTCAATTCAATGTAAGGAACGTCGAAGCAGAAAATGGTCAGTATTTCCCATCCAGTGAGATTTTCGTTTGATTTTAGACACTTTGTTTATAATTAAAGAGAAGAGGCTCAACGATTAACTACGTGTGAAAATGGTGAGGATGAGGATGAAATAAAAAAAACTATTTTGTATGTCGTCGCTACAATACAATAGGTCTCTAGCAACAAGCGTGAAATAAAAAGAGACTGAGAATCCATCTTTTTGATTTCGGCCGTTTCTGAGTCATCGCTTTGTTATTAGGAACGCACGAGTTTTTCTGTATTTTTTTCGTGTCTTCTGTATAAAGGAAATGGGTATATAACTTGTAAAGTTTCATTGATATGAGTGTGATATAAAGAGACTGGAATCCCATTATTATTGGTTATCTTAATTAGGACAAATAATGTATAACGACCAGAAACAGATCTTTTCCGGCTAGAGGATCTTCATCTTTTTGTTATTCTGTATCTATACTATAATGAATTTCTGGAAATTTTTCCACGTGTTTGACCACTTTTTGTCTGCTAAATCTGAATATGTTATTTATTTATTTTTCTTATACGGCTTAACAAAACTGAAAAACCTGCCAAATACACAAGATTAGTCATATTCCAATCACCCTATTTTCTTCTAGTCACATATTACAGTTGAGGCGTTCATAGCTTTTAAACGATATGTTGTAGAAAGTTGTTGCTAGCAGGAGGTTTTCATAATTCATTAAGATTTATTAGCGCTAAAAATTTCATGACTTTTTGATGAGTCATTCTTTAGAAACACATGAAAGAACTACAGGGTTTAACAAAGAGTAAGAAAAAATTTCAAAGGCAGCTGGATGTGTTAAAGTGTTAATGAACTTTTACACCGAACCAGTCGTGAGTTAAAACAAAAAATGTTGTATCAATGTGAAAAAATTACGCTTAATATAATTAATAATTTCATGAAATTTAGCTTAAGAGCAATATAAACATTGTAGCGTACAAGAAACTGAATTGTTGATGTTTGTATATATACATTGTTATGTGTACAAGTTGCTTTGATCAATATCACCGAAACTCGATTTCTAACGAAATAGACCCAATATCCATAAAGCATGTAAGACGCCACCAATCCAGAACAAAAAGATTGTTAATATTAAATTAATAATAACTTGATTGGTGCAAGCTTGATTTTCATGCAAAAACACGGCCAATGGTGGTATAAAAATTGCCAGAATAATTAATAGAATATCAGCCATACTTTTGTTAAAGTGCGAAATAATCCTATTGTAATGTCTGAAAAAAGATCTAAAAATAATAAAAGGGAGCACACAATATTTATACTACAGCACAAATTAGTTATTGAAGGTGCGAGTAATTCAAAAAACGAGCATTTTCGATTTTTCCTTTTAATGTCTATGTGCATATATGAGTGATTCTGATAAAAACAGTACCGTTCGAATGAAGTAAATGATCCCAAGCGTTTCTTTTCTTAGCCTTGATGAATCACTTTCGGACTTCTCTCATATATTCAACAACGTTAGGCTTATAATCACTGCAAGTACGACTTTTCTATGTTTTACCGTGAACGAATTATACGCAAAACGTCCATATTTTACCGTTATTTTGATGTTGTGTTTCTGGTGATTCAAATACGTTTGGTTTTATAAATGTTATCTTCTCTATTATTTTATGTGGGGCAATATTTTTTTTTCTCTCTTTCTTATAGTATTTTCTTCGCTCTACTCAGCTACATCATTACCTTTGTTACCGGTTGTTCTGTTTTTTCACAAATTTCTTACGAATTTGTGATCCCAAAATAATTATTTTTTCTGTCCCATAACCACATGGTCTGTAGAACCTAGACTTGTAGAACCTGAGTTGGGCGATCTTTTCGACGTCATTTTCTTGTTGCCCTAAGGTTTCAGTTTCAGATAACGAAAACCGCAGGTCTCCAGCATCTTTCAGTGCAAAGTTATTAGACATACAGTGGCTGGCCTACTTTTTTGTATGGATAGTAGAATATTAATGAATATTGACATAAAAAAAAGTGAGGCAAAAACATTGTTCACGATGAGATGGTAATGATTGATATAGTTTATCATATGTAAATATTCGGATTTAAACGTGCAAATTGTATCTCATATTCTGAGAAAAGCAGGCAAACCAAAGAAGTTTATAACATTACTTTACGTAATTTCTTTTATGGTTTCTTTGTGAAGAAAAGATAAAATATTTTACCCATAGCTTTGGTGACACAGTGACTGATAAAGTTGTAAATTTCTTTATTTTCAACAAACAGAAATTTTACTCAAAATATTTTATCTTTGGAGAATCTATGAATATATCTTTTTCAACAGGTGGAGAAAACTCAAAGTAGAGCGAAAACGAGAATTGGCCATGCATTTACTCCCACTGTCATCGCCAGAAGAGAAAGACGTAAAGCTATTGTAGTGAAAAAGAGACCATTTAAAAGTTGTCTCACTAAGGTGGCGGTAGCGCCAAGGGTTTTGGCCTTTTTGAGGAGTTAGCAATATTTTGCGTTTTTCTCCCGGAAAACTCGGTCAAAATGAAAAAACAAGGTCAGATTCGTTATCACCAAATAAAACTGCATCTACTATCTGTTTCAAAGTAGAATGCAGCCCGATATTTTTTTAATAGCTTTTGAACTGACAGACCTAGCGAGTTGCGGATTTCAGTTTTATGAACTAGACACCGGAGCACATATATCTATAGAAAAATAGAGTCGCTCAATAAAGTTTACTATGGTAAGCCTTTCAAAGCAAAATGTCCGATATTGCCATTCTTAGAACTTACACAGTAACCTATCCTCGAAAACTGTCTGACATATAGAAGAAACTTAGTTCTGTCCAATGACACAAGTCTCAACCTTCGATCTCTGATGGTATGGGAGCAACATGCATTCTCCGTGGACCTTTCTGTCCCTAAGCTGACAAGTCTAGAAATCTAACAAATACTTGAAACATAGGTAATCAGCTATGCTGATCATCTTGGCAATGTTTATTTTTGTCTCCAGGTTGAACGGAGTTTATCTGAGAGGTTTTCCTCGAAAACCGAGTTGTCCCTATTTCCGTGTAAACTTCAAATAGTTATAACTCATTCCTTTTTGATCGAAACTGATCCAACATTTCAGGAGACACTCATCCCTCTTCGTCTAATACCAATCAAGACGGGAAAACTCGCTCTGCTCCACTAAGGGACTGAAGGATTTCTAGAGACCTTCCGCATAA